CAAACGGTAAAGTGTATTGGTCTGAATATAAAACAAATTTTTACTCGAAAATTGAGGTGCAAAGTGACAAACAGAGCTCCTGATTAATGAATGACTGGCGATCTGAAAATACTAGAATTTCGACTAGTTATATGACTTACAAACAATTTCTAACTTTAGACTTTGTGCCAATTCCTAAAGAATGTTGAATCCCAGTCCTTCAGAAAAACCATTCGGTGCAGTTTTTTTCGATTCATGATTGAAGTCAAAGCAAGATTTACAAACGATATTGAAAATGGTATCCAGTCAAAACACTGCTGGTGACAAGCTATCTGTCCTTTGAGATTATATGACATTCACTTTCTCCCGTGCTCACTCCATCTCGCGCTTTATCAGTTAATAACCCGTGTAACGAGGCTCAGATGAAAATCAACATCTGAGCAACCGTGACACTTGTGCTGTCTTTAGAAAAGACGCTTGCTGTGCTATGCGGTGAGCTGAACTTAAATGAATCTGGCTAGATTGGAGAATAAAAACAACTAACATCTCGAGTGAGCGGGTGACAAGCGGATTAACTAGGCGAGAGGATAATGACTGTACTAAACCGATTTGGAGTAAATGAAAAACTAGTAATAGATTTTCTATCCTCAGGTATGCATTTACAAAGAAAGGAAAATTTGCAACGTTTGAAATGTCATTCTTCCTCACACTTACAAGACAGGGCCAGTTCTAGCACAGTTCTTTTGATAAATTCAATGGTGGGTGATGTTTGTTTCCATGTCATCGGCCAGGAATGCCTTAATTTTAAAGGCAGAAACAACAGCAGCTATGTGACAAGCATAGTCACAGTGGCGCTCATTTATGAAGGAAGAAAGGCTAGTGATTCTGACTGAAGCTCGAACCCCAGACCTCTAAGTTCTAAGTCTGACGTTCTACTGACTGAGTAATCCCGATATGAAACAATCTGTAGCAAATTCCTAGCTTAAGGGAACTCATCGTAAAGATAAAGATTCCCAGCGCGGAATCGGACTCGCATCCCCGGAGTTCGAGTTCGAAGCTGACCTCCTAAGCAGTGCGCCATTACGCAGAAGTTAGGGTGAGGACACAAAAACAGGCTAACCTTTCTGATGGTCACCACCTCAGATATTTCATACCTGGGTTGTGCAATGACGTATTACTTACTGCTGCTTGTGAGTATCATCCATCGAGGTGGTACGCCTACGCATGTCTTCATCTACAGTAGTTAGTTCTGGATACTGACCGACAGAGAGCGATCTCGAAGACACGTGAGCGAAAGGCTTTTGAAAAGTGTTGACGTGACGGCAGTACGGCTACGTAGTGATCACAGCGCAGATAAGACACCTGTCATAAGTAACGGACGACAGCTTGACACCCCGACTCAGAGACAAGTATAGTTCAATAAACTCAACTGAAAAAGATTGTCACACATAGCGTCCATCATAAAAGTGCAGGGGCACTGACCTTCAGACAACCACGGACTTTAATTTCTTTTTTGTTTTAATGCCCGGTACGGTAACTGCAAGAACAAATGGTCTATAGAAGGACTTGTTACTTAATCATTAATAGGCACGGTTTAATTTTATTACAGATAACCAATCGTTCCCACGGTGCTTCTTCAATATACTTTAAAGCCATCGCAGCTTTGGATCTCAAAAAGAATTCGAGGAGTCATTAATTTCTTTGAACTTAAAGAATGACGAATCTATTCAATGAATGCATAAATTAAGGCATTCATCATTATTTTCAGGTATCGATTTTTTCCTTTGCTTGCAAGGGTCCTTGGCCGACATCAGTTACTTAAAGCTTCAGAATTACTACGGTATAAACGCACGGCTTGAACTTCACCTCTCATCTATATTCTGTTAGAAGATTAGAAAATAGTGCAGATTAACTTTTGACTTAAATTATTCTTGTTAAGTGTCCGCATTTCAGTCAAATCAGTAGTGTAAAAGTCACAAATGCCGTCATACTTTTGCTTGTGCCGGGAAGAGAGGGATATCTTCAATTTTATTTCCGGGTCTTCACTGTAAAGCCGCGTTCCATAGAAGTACCAATAGGTGATGCCATTGTGGTCCTGTCCTAAGGGCAATATGCGCAAACTTTCGCCTGAGAAGTCCTTAAAGCTGGTCGGTTATTTGAATAAACAGAGTGAACCAAGAATCGACTGATAATTCGAAGTGTACTTTGGTCATAATTTCGACGTCGGGCTTCGACAATCGCCATTCGCATAGCAGATGCAGCACCTTCACTTTCGCGTACAATGGCAATGAATGAAACGATGCCTTTTCTGCATTGACACCCAACGGGTTTGGACCTGAGCCAACACACACCCAGTTCGCGTGAAAGATGCGATGTA